CTTTCACCTCCCCCCCTCCCCCTCCTCCGCCCCCTCCTTCTTATTCTCCTCCTCCTCCTCCAGGCTCCTTGAGGTCAGGGTGTATGGGTGTCACTCCCAATACACTGTCCCCAGCTGGTCACCTGCTCAAGGGAATCATCATACCTGGACACACTCCTTTGTATGAGTCTTCTTCTCATTCCAGGCAACAACCATTTATTCAGACTCCACAATGTGCAAGCATGCAGAGCTCTATACTAGGCACTGGAGGTATAGAGTGAGAATGAAAAACAGACCCTGGCCTCAAGGGGCTTGCATTCTACTGGAGGGAACACATCACATAAAAATATGTGTGTGGAAATCTGAGAAGGGAAAGAGCATGCACATCTCAGAATATCAGGGAAGGCTTCCTGCAGGAAGTGGTCCAGGAGCTAAGCCTTGAAGAAAGCTGGGATTCTAAGTGAAAGGAGGGCATTTCAGGCACGAGGAGGGGCAGCCAGATGCAAAAATGTGGAGGTAGAAGATGGAAGGCCAAGTTCTGGGAACAACAAGTTGGCCAAAGTCCTCTGATGTTCAGTTCAGGCGGGGATCTCCAATGCCATCTTCCCTCATCTCCCCTCCCACCCCCACCCCCCCACCCCGGTTGGAAATGTTCTCTCCCAGCCCACATTTGCCTAGAGTAGACTCCTTGTGGAGTCACTCCTTTCCTCTCCCTGTAGCCTGCCCAGTAGATCTGGGGGCATTCTGGTGTAATGTAAGCTCTTCCGCAGAGGAAGATACCAAACTGTGTGTGACTTGGGAGCTGAGTCCTCAAGAGGTCCAGAAAGGCTAGAATATTTGTCCACTTGCTGAGTGACTTACACAACCTGTAAGTATCTGGGCAGGATTTGAACCCAGGTCTGCCTGTCTCCAAACCCAGCGCTATAACTAGGCTATCACATTTTTGAATACTTCTTCAGTATTTACACAACCTGTGACTTCATGGGTGTCTTCCCAAAGATGCAGAGCGTAACTTTTCTATGGCTTAATAGGAGGCTTTGAAGAACTCTGTGGCCAAAAAATCCACCACTCTGAAGCCCATTTCCAAAGACGGAGATTTATTATCTGATGACTGACTGTCCAATCTGGACTCAAAGCTCATCCATCCTGGTAGGACCTCAGTTGTAGAGTCCAGGGTTGTTGACTTGATAACTTTAGCAGGAAGTCTGCCTTGCATCCAGCAGGCACTGAATAAATGTTGGTGGGGCACCAATCTTTGCATTCCCGGCCTTTGGCACCTGCCACTTCATAATGATTTGTTTAATGCATGACTCGCTCCATCAATCAATCAATTAATCAGCAAGAATTTATTAAGCCCTTACTATGGGTAAGTCACTCTGTAAGGTGCTGGGGATATAGACTGAAGCCAAACAATCCTTGCCTTCAAGGACCTTCTATTAAATGTGTGAGAAAACATCAATTAATATATCTATCATCAGTCAATAAGCATTTATTAAGTGCCTACTATGAGCCAGTCAGTGTTCTAAGCACTGAGGACAAAAAGGCAAAAGTGGAATGTTCCTGCCCTCAAAGGGCTTATGTTCTGTCAGAAAAGATAACACATAAATGTGTAAATATTTGAAATACAGGGTTAGGAATAGGGATTGCAGCGGAGATTCCACTGGAGTGAGGAACTCTCTGTTGAGGAAATTCCATCAACCAAAGCGAGTTGGCACCTTCTCTTTAAGGTATAGCTTTGGAGAGTTACCTGGACTCTTGAGAGCTGGAGTGATCTATCCAGTATGTGTCAGAGGCAAAGTTCAAGCTTCCTGTTTCTGAGGCTGGTCACCTCCCCACTGTGCCCCCCTTGTGTATATGTACAAAATACATACCAGATCAATTAGAAGGGGGGAAGCACTAGCCCCCACTAGAGGTGGGAAAGTTGCCCTCCTATGCAAGGTGGTGTCTAAGCTGTCATCAGGGATTCTAGGAGGCAGTGGTGAAAGGAGAATGGGGGATGGCAGAAGTGTGGTTACAGCTGTCCCCTCATCATGGCTCCAGTTTCCTCTCCTGGGTACCCTCCCTATAGTGCTTGGGAAGAGAAGGAAGACATCATGTGAGGCTTGGGGTCCATACTCCGTGGGCCATTGGGGTCCAGCCTCTAGTGATGGTGATGAACAACCCAGTGGCATTCTCATGAAGCTCAGGCACCCAGACCAGCCCTGGGCAGAGCCTTTCACATGCTTCTAACCCATGAACCACTGGGTCCCTTCTATCAGCACTTGTTAGAGGGTCTGTAAATTCTGTTGTCTCTGAATGACTTCTGGGTAGAAACAGGACTGGCTGATTCCCAGGGCTGAGAGGGAGACTGACCCCAAGGGCAATTTGTTCTTGGCTGAAATCCATCCAATGCATTATTGATTTCTGACCGGGGCTGAGTAGAGAATGATTATTGCTGCCTCTCTCTGGAAAAGACAGTTCTCTGAGTGAAACCGAAGACCGCACATCATGCTACTGCCTCAGACTGGGCTTGCACAAAGGAGTTTATAGCAACTCTCTCACTTCTAAAGTCCATGATTCTACATTTCCATGTGGAACAGAAGCAGGCCCAGGAAAGAATCCTGAAATATTTCAATGGTCACTTCCCTCCAGATCAACATTCATCCATTCATCACTACTCATTGGGCCTGGTCAGACAATGAGTTCTCACATCCCTGAACCACATTAGTATCCAAGTCACATCTCTTCATTTTGTCTACTAGCATGAGAGACTTGGTTAAATGCCTTGCTGGAATCAAGATATACTCTATCCATGGTGTTTCCCTAAGCTATTCCTCAAGTACTGCAGTCAAAAGAGGCAATGAGCTTAATCTGGCATGATTTATTCTCAATGAACCCTGTGTGCTCCCAGTGCTCACCCATTTTCTTACTAAGTGCTTCCAAACTCTCCCTTGAATATTAGGAATCAATGTAGTTTTCCCAGCTTATAATCTGAATTATACAAACTTCCCCTTCCTGAAATTGGGATATTTGATCACTTTCAGTTCTGCCGTTTAACATCGCTTGACCCTAGGGTTGAAAACAATAAAGATGATAACGATGATAGCCAGCTTCTGTATAATGCTTTAGATAATATTTGCAAAGAGCACAAATATTATCTCATTTGATCCTCACAATAACCCTGGGAGGTAGGTGCTATTATTCTCCCTGTTTTTACAGATGAAGAAACTGAGGCATATAGAGGTCAAGTGACTTGCTCAGGGTCACTCACACAGCTAGTAAGTGTCTAAGGCTGGGCCTGAACACAGCTCTAACCACTGTGCCACCTGCCTGCTTTAGACAGTCTCTAAGGTCACTTCTAGTTCTGGAGTCATGATCCATTCCAACAATCAGCAGGGGGTTAGTGATGTCATCCAACTTTCAGTACTTTGTGATGTCATCCATCCAGGCCTGTGGACTTTGATTCATTTAGAAGATCTAGAGGCTCTCATTAGCATCTCATTTTTTTTTTTGGAGTTTGTCTTTATTTTTTAAAAATTTCATTGATTGATTTATTTATTTTAAGAGGATTTTAATTCCATCTTTTTTTTTTAATTAAGTCCATCTTAACCATTTTGTTCTTTTCCCCTTAAAGATGATTTTCCTTGGTAGGAAATGAAATTGAGTATGTGTCTTCTCCCCATCATCTGTTGCCAGCTCCCCAGGCATGTTGGCACCTTCTAGTTCTTCCTACTTCAGCCCCTCCCAAGGACGAGCAAACCCTGCCTTGCCCTGTCAGCGTTCTAAGGTCCATGATCCAGGACCTTTAAACCCCTCTTTCTGACCACAAACTCCGAGTCTCCCATCTCTTATTCAACCTCATTTTCAAACCTCTCTCTTTTTTTCTTTTTAAATGTTGCATGGATACTCCTTTCTGTTTTCCATCACTGTCATTCTCCAGTGACTATCCCACCCCCCAATAAAACCCAACCTTAATGAAGCAGTACAGATAAAGAAAATGAATGAACACATTGGTTATGTCTGAAAAAAGTATGTCTCCTGATACATCAACACACTACCATCCCTCTATCGAGAGTCAGCACTAATCCTTGGAAATCGTGATTGGAACACTACATTCATCAGAGTTCTGAAGTCTTTTGAAGTACATATAATCATAGGTCTAGAGTTGAAAGGGTCCCCCAAGACCATCTTGTCTAACCTCCTCATTTTACAGATGAGGAAACTGAAGCCCATCCAAGTTGTGACTTGCCTAGAGTCATAGAGACAATAAACATCAGAGGCAGAATTTGAACTCAGGTCCAGAGCCAATGCTCTTTCTACTGTACTATGCTGTCTCCCTAAACCTATTCTTTATCCTCACCACAAG